CTTACAGATGTATCTTTGTTTTATTTTTCTTTCTCTTTAAACTTTCTCTCCCAGGAATAGTCAGGATCCCCCTTTGTACTTGTTATATTCTGCTTAGTAAGTGTTCAGCAGCAGAAAGTTCCAGGTGATGCCTATAACACTCTTGTTACTACCATCTATTGAGAAAAAGTGAAACAAAAAATAATTGTTTCCCTCCATCTCTGTCCAGTGTATAACAAAAATTATAGATGACAGACATATGACATCATCTAAACTTAGGGAAGTGATTAAGAAAACAATTTTTTGCATGAAAAGAAATATGGGGGCTTAAATTAGAGATGACAGGAAAATGAATGTATTTTTGTGGTAATGCTGTCAATTTAAGTTCAATTATAAAACATGTTTAGAACATTCTGTGTTTATGATGTGTTGAGGGAAGTGTCTGAAATGTCTCTACTTTGAGAAAAGTAAAATGAGACTTCAGTTAGAGACATGTAAATGAGACAGCCTCCGTTTCTGTTCCTCTCAAGTCTTTGTCCTTTATTCTTTCTGTGTCTAATGTTCATTTTGGGGATTTTCTTGCAGTTTGCTTCTTAGTCCTTGCACACTTTGAGTTTTTAGAAAAGTTCACAAATAAAGTGCTTTTATCACTAATCAAGAAGTTTGTCCAGTGATTTTTGTCTTCTGTGCTGTCATATTAATCTAATCATTTGGCAATGATATCTGTAGGTTTTTGTATGCTTCAGTGATCAGGTTTCATTTTTATAACTGTCCGTAAGACTTCACGACATGAAACAAAACTGTTTGAAGTCATTGGTAATCTTTTTTGTTGATTGATTGACTCGGTGAAGAGTTTGGGTCCAGAATGAATAAATGGCCATCAAACCCTCTTTCTCTTTTTCATTGCTGGGAAGACCATGTCCTGGCTATTATAGAAGAATCCTAAAAGGAAAGATTGAGTTTTTGTTCAGTGGTCTGTGGGCTAATTCTTAATGAGACTGTGTATGCCATTTTTCCTCCTCCTCTTAAATTGAAAAATCTATTTTGTATGCTGACCTCTTGTCTAATTTCTATGTTCTGTGATGTGGCTGCATTTCTTTGAGATGGTTTTGACTGTACTGGAAGGAAAGTGTGTTGAAGTGCAGAAGTGTAGAGGATGTAGAATAGCTCATAGAATCTCTGACTAAAAGGGAAAAAGTAAAAAATGGTGTTAAAGTGTTTCTACCGAAACATTCATAAGCTATGAGCAGTACTTTAAAAATAACTAGTAAGCTTATTTAAGAAGCTTTTTGTAAATACAATGTTCTAATATTTTCCCCTGGTTTATAATGTAATATTGAGAGGGTCTTAAGAATATACAAGTCTACAAAGCCTGTATTAGCTACTCTGTTAATGAATATTATAAAATAATAAAATAAATGTAGCTTTAACTTCACATTTTAAGTGAAGGAAGAGTTGTGCTGTTCAATTTGATGTGGCATTAATTAAGGAGAGGTTTCAAATTTCAGTGACCTAGATTTTCTGTTTATCGTCTTCCCTATGTAAGAAGGGAAGGCATTCTTCGTAAACCTCTCTAAATGAGAGGTAATGTATGAACACAAGTAGCAAATTTTATGTGTTTTTATTTCAGTACTCAATCTATTCAGACTTGAGCTGTGCTATTAAAGATGCTAAATACTATGTGGTATGCAACTCAGCCTTTTTTTCAGATAACTTCTAAACACCTGTAATATTTTCTTAGGATCTGAGTTGATGTAATCTGCCAAAATAGTTCTCTTGACAGTACCATTATAACTTAAGTTCCGTGTACCAGAAGTAATAGAATACTCTTCGTGTTTAGATGAAGAAGATGACTTTGTCAATAAAAGAGTTTCCCTGAAACCGAAGGAGAATGGGACATCAGCGATCGGTTGTCCAGGAACAACTACAATGAAAAAGGAAGATGTAAAACCACGAGCTAAAAGCAAACCATTATCTCCAGTGAAACAGACTCCCACCTCGGCACTTGATTACTTTGGGACAAGTAGTGTCCAACGATCGGAAAAGAAACTGGTAGCAACTAAAAGGAAAGAAGTGAGTACTGATGGTGTTCCTTTAGGCTGCTCATGTGTCTGATAGCAGATCAAAATGGCCAGTTTAATGACTGCAAGGAGATACTTAACTGCTTGTCCTACTTAATGTTACTTTTTAATGACCACTCAAGTATAAGTTCAATTCTGATGATATGTGCAGGCATATCAAGTCCTCAAATGCAAGTTTAGAGTAGCATTTCCATGTTTGAGAAGATAGCACAAAGTTGAAAGTAGTATTTTCTGTATTTCTTCTTCTCAAGTGACTTTTCTTAAAATGAAGTAGTTTTCTGAGATTAGTGAGTGGATGGGATAGTTTATAGTTGGGGGCGGAGGGCAGCAGGGAGAGGAAGGAGGTTTTTTTCCCAAGCTTTATGGCACATATTCATGGAATAACAAAGCAGCAAATAAAGTATGGAGGAAATTAAAAATTCACAATGTAGTTACTGATTTCTCTTTCAAGTGGGCCAACTGTGATAGCTTCAGCATTGTTTGAAGAAATGAGATATTTATATTATAGGATGGTTTTGTTTTGTATAGTAAAATCTCTTGAAAACAGCCTTTTTTAATAGTTTAAGTTAGAGAGCTAGGAATAAAATGCTACATGTCTCATTCCCAGTCCTTTTCTAATAGTATACAAAATGAATCCATACAGATTAAATTATTATAATTTGCACAATATTGGGGAAACTGAACTGTTGGTGTTTTTTTTTTTTTTAAATATAGCCTTCACAAAGCAGAGACAGCACACTAGATGATGAGGCCATTGCTAGGCAACTGCAGCTTGAAGAAGATTCAGAGGTAAAAGCTCTATAAATTTGCTGCTCTATGCCAAGAACAGTTTGTTTAACTTAAAATTGTTTTTCCTTAAGAAATTAAGATGGACTTCTCACGTATGCTATAAATAAGTGTAATAACATTCATCTGTATACTTAACTCTTGCACACATGTGCAAACATAGTCATGCAATTATTTTTATGGGCATTATTTCAGTTACGTAAATAGAACATCGCACTTAATGTATTTTCTGTTTATCCAGACTTTCTCTACCTGTGCAGTTGATGTGTCTGTAATAATCTTGCTTTTCACACAGAATTCACTTTTTACTTCCTCATGCTTTTGTTTTTTTGAGTGGTTGGTTTTTGTTCTGTGTTTTTTGTTTTGTTTTTAATTCCCTGGAGTGAAAAATTAAAAGCCATTGCCATCCATGATTTGTTTCACTTGTCATCTGAGTTTTCTTATAGCTGAGAAAAATTTGAATGACCCTTACATGTGTGTCTTAAACTTTCCTGTTTGAATCAGTGCTAATATAAGGGAAAGGTACACTTGTCATACTTATTTACTTGCTTTTGGGAAAATCAATTCATTTCCCATATACTGGTAATATTGAGTATCCTTTGAAATACATACATCGTACATGCAAAACAGTCTCATCCTTGTCCTCTGCAGAGGTGTGATGAATCTAGCTTTAGTCTATTAGAAAGGTAAACAACCTGTCAGGAAAAACAAGGTGTTGTCTTTCATTTGAACTGATCTTAGCTATAACACTCTCATTGTCTATATGTATCATGAAAGGAGTGTACTTTATTTTAGGTGTATCTGCCTCAGTCTGGTTTGTGTTTGGGCCCTTCCCCTTTCTCACTGTACACAGGGAAGATAGATGCGTTTCCTTGTTACAGGCACATAAAAAATAATGCCTGTGGCATATTGGTTTGATAAAGTCATCTGTTTGAATCTCATAGCATGGCATGTTGGACTTCAAGACAATTATGAGAGGATTTTTGTTGTTGTTTTGTTAAAATAATGGTCAATATTTATTGGCAACAATATACACTATTCAGGAATAGAAAAAGTGTTCCCCAAGGGGTCATATTGGATAGGAAAGGTAACTTATTGATCAGTTATCACTGTAGATGTCACATTTATTTTGTTAGGTGAAATAAAAATGAAACCAACCTGGCTTTGTTTTTTTACAATTAATAAATAATAATAAATAACTTTCTCAGATTCCATATACAGTATTTGTTACTGGTTCTTCTGTCAAAGAAAATCAGTTGTTCAAGTAGAAATATTAAAAAGTAGAAATATTAAAGAGTTAAAGTATACTTATTTCCATAAAGTAACCAGAACTGGCAACAAGAGCTGGTCTAAGGGCAGTAAACTCTCAAAACTGCCAGAATGCTTTTTCATATGATATGTTGCTAGCAGTAAACGAGAATAAAACATTCATTATTGAGACATCATAATACTTAACATTGTTCCTACTTTCTTTTGGGACTGCTTTTGGAAGTTTTCTAAAGCCAAGAGGCTGCATCTCGGTGCAAGCTCGTTGTTGTGAGATCCTGCCTTTGAGTTTTGTTTGTTTGTTAAATGAAAAGGATACACAACAATAAAAAATATGAAGGAACAGAAAACCTCTTTTGAAAACAGGTTATACAGGCTTATTAATGTTTCTAGTGCAACAAATCCAAACTCTACTTTTCTCACTAGACTTCAGTCTCTCTTTTTGGGGGAAACAAGTAATTCTTCAGTGCCATTTTCAGAAATGTATTTGCCTCTTGTAGGATGCACTTTTTCCAGCTATGTGCTGTCTTATTTTAGATAAACTTCTTGTCTTGAACAGAAAGTAGAGTTTTAAAAAATTGTAGTAGAATTAAGTCTTGTCAGACACGAGCCTAAAAACCTTTTTCTTTCTTTTTTTTTTTTTTTCTTTCAGCTGGAGAGACAGCTGCATGAAGATGAGGAATTTGCTAGAACTTTGGCCATGTTGGATGAAACACCGCAGAAGAAAAAGGTTGAATTCTTTTTAAACTTTAGTTTTTAGAAATTGCATTGCTGGGAGTGTTCTTATTTAGATACCTAACCTTTGTTTTGAGACTTCCATACAAATGCATTAAAAACAGCAAGAAAGTGTTTGCATGAAAGTAACATACTCACTTTTCATACTTTCCTCCTGGATTTTCCTCACTCAGTAAATAGTGACCTTCCTAATCAGACAGCAGGCATTGTATCTTTGTGCTATCTCCTTCTGTTGAAACGGGATTTTAAGTTCTAGTTCTAATTGAGTGCAGTGTGTTGCTGAAGACTCATGCTTTAGATCAGCTATAGCTCCATTGGTTCAGGAGGACCAGATCAAGTAAAATGAGTCAAAGGCACAAGCTGGTGAAATGTGATGGGAGAAAAAGGAAGGAGGAGAATACTTTTCCCTGCTTGCCCGTTCTCTCAAAGCAAGGATCTTGAGAGTTTTGAGACTAACTGCAGTGGTGGGAATCTTCGCAGTTCTCATAGCTTGTGGTGTAAGGCACAGTAAAATATTTGCTGGGTTGTACATCAAGGCTCTTAGAGTTTAGGATTGCTAATTTGAATATAGCAAGTATTAGTACTTCTGGACTAATCAGTAAACTAATTAGGATCGAAATTTACTGTAACCTGGAAGTTTGTCTGGCCTTTGACTTAAGGAATGATTATGTGCATGGCTGAGTGCAGAATTTGCTCATCTGCCTGCCTTTGATAGGGATTGTATTGTGACCTGTGGTAGGGATCAGCTTTGTTAGATGTCATTCAGTCTGTTGTATTTAACAGTAGGGAAACTCGGGGATCTGGACTTAATGGTAGTTTGGGACGTGCATCTCTGACTTTGGCATTGTGTGTTTATTTAGGCTCGGAAGGATTCAGGAGAAGAGCAAACGGTACTGAGCATCAAGAAGAGTCCTAACATGGCAGAAAGATATAAGCAGTCAGAAAGAGGTAGGACATGGAATATAGAAAACATTTCACGAATTTATAATATTAATGAGATACATTCTTAAATATGTGCTCTCCTCCCTCTGCCTCCTTTCAAGTGAAAGCAACAAACTCGACAGGTGAAGCAAAGAATTACACTGCGAAGCAGCAAACTAAATCTGAACATTCAAAAGGCTCTTGTTTATCCTCACAATCATCTGATGGTAAAATAGCAAGAGAGTTGACAGCTAAGACCTTGTCTTTGAAACCTAGCTCTAAGCTTGTGTCTCTGAAACAAAAAGAAGAGATTGCTGAAAAGGAAAGAGGTGCCCAAAGTTTAGTATCAAAAGAAAAAACTACTTCGGGGAAAGAAGAGAAGACAACACCAAAAAAGGAGAAAATTTCTCCCAAGAAGACTGAGGTAGGAGCTATCAAAATGAATTTAGTTGGCTTGGTGGAGTTTGCAGGAAAATAGTTTTCATTTATTATTGTTTATGTGTCACTGTTGTAACTTGGTACTTCGAATCTTCTGGGCAATTTTTAAGAATTTGAATTCTGGGAAGGCTTTAAGTTCCTAGCAATTGTAAAAATACAGGAAAAAAAATTAGCTGGAAAAGTGTAAATTAAATGCATGAAGGAATTGAAAGTTCTTTAATGCTCATTAAGGTATGCATGTAGACTGCAAAATCAGTTCAGTGCTTTTTCACATTTAACTTCCCTGAAAAAATGCAGAATGCAGGAATTCTGACACTTAGTGAGCATAAGCTTACTGTTTGTGTGAGTGTGGTGACCTTGTGGATCTGCTTAGATATATCTGTTAGAATGATAAATGGCATTTTTTGGTCTGACATATATTTCTTATGGTTGATACATTATGTAGGAATATAATTTAGTTTTCTTTTAACTGTCTGATTCAGTAACTGTGGCCAGCAGGAGTAGGGAGGTGATCGTGCCCCTGTACTCGGCCCTGGTGAGGCTGCACCTCGAATCCTGTGTTCAGTTTTGGGCCCCTCACTACAAGAAGGACATTGAGGGGCTGGAGGGGGTCCAGAGAAGGGCAACGAAGCTGGTGAAGGGTCTGGAGAACAAGTCTTATGAGGAGCGGCTGAGGGAACTGGGGCTGTTTAGCCTGGAGAAGAGGAGGCTGAGGGGAGACCTCATGGTGCTCTACAACTACCTGGAAGGAGGTTGTAGCGAGGTGGGGGTTGGTCTCTTCTCCCAAGTAACTAGTGATAGGACGAGAGGAAATGGCCTCAAGTTGCGCCAAGGGAGGTTTAGATTGGACATTAGGAAAAACTTCTTTACTGAAAGAGTGGTCAGGCCTTGGAACAGGCTGCCCAGGGAAGTGGTGGAGTCACCATCCCTGGAAGTATTTAAAAGACGTGTAGATGAGGCACTTAGGGACATGGTTTAGCAGGCATGGTGGTGTTGGGTTGACGGTTGGAGTCGATGATCTTAGAGGTCTTTTCCAACCTTAATGTTTCTATAATTCTATGATTATTGAACACACTGGCAGTTACTGGCAACCTTAAAACATACTTTTTAATCATAAAGTACAAAATATTCAATTTTGACACTTAAATAACAGTTGTAATGGGGAGGGAGAGTCTGCAGCTTTTTTGGAGGTGAGTTTTAAATAATTTTTTTACTGATTAAAAAGCTTAAATGTCTCTTAAAAGTAGAAATACTACAAAGCAGACGTTATGTAAGTGTAGATCTATACCTGATTATCATTCTGAAATAAAATAGGATGTGAATTTAAAGCAGTAATTTATTATTTAAGTGAGCATACGTGTGGAATACAGATGAATCTAGAGAAACCTGACAATAAACAATGGGTACATATTTTTTTTTAAACTTTCAGGTGAGTTTTTGAAATAGTTTTAAAAAGAACAACAAAAAATACCTCAAAACACAAGCACCAAAACCAGAACAAGCTTCGGTATTGCATGTTAATATGTTAAAAACAACTGTTAGAACTTACTTTTCCTTTGGTGCATTAAAAATGTCTTAAACTGTGATGCTTGAGCTTATTTTGTTGGTTTTATGTATGTAATATGTGTATTAAATTTTTTTTTCCCTCCTGCCCAAGTCTGTAAGTCCTGAGGACTCTGAAAAGAAGCGAACCAATTATCAAGCCTACCGAAGCTTCCTTAATCGCGAGGGTCCGAAAGCGCTGGGTTCCAAAGAGATACCTCAGGTAAGTTTGGCTGCAGCAGAATTCTATATGTAGAAGTGGAGTGTGTCATAGACTTACTGTTGCAAGTGATCTAACAAGTATCAACTAAACTATTTAAAAACTGGTACTTTTTTCAAATAGGAAGTATGTATTGGAAAAAGCTGAATTGTAATGCAAAGCAGTGACTAAATGTAAGGAAATACAGTAAGAAATTAAATTCGGTATTTGGTTTATGAAGTCATGATGATGAAAAATAGTTACTGGTCTTAAAGTTGAAGATTGCTGTCACTCATTTGACTGACATGCTATTCTTGAAGCACAGAGTGTTATGAGTATGGGTCAGGTGAACAGTGTGTGAAGTTTTGTTGGTAGCTATTCCTTTTAATGGCTTTTGAACTTCTATATCTATTACCTAGCTAAGTAGCGTAGGCTTATTTTTAAAGTTTCATAGGGTATTTGACATGGTAGGGGGCTAAAAAAGTTTATGGTGAAAAGGTATTTGGTAGAATTGCATCAGGTAATGGCATTTTCTGCAATGCTCTGTTTCTCAGGGAGCTGAAAACTGCTTGGAAGGCCTGACATTCGTAATTACAGGCGTTCTGGAGTGTATTGAAAGAGATGAGGCCAAGTCTCTGATTGAACGTTACGGAGGAAAAGTAACTGGCAATGTCAGCAAGAAGACAAACTATCTGGTTATGGGACGAGACTGTGGCCAATCTAAATGTGAAAAGGTGAGCGTTCCTGTGCCTGAGCGAGGTAGAAGTGAAACTGTGAATTGTTCATATCTAACTGTATCGATTTTCAGTATCTCTGCCAAAAGGAGGCAGTACTGCCAAGAAAGTGCATGTTAAAAAGGAAAAGTTGCCTAATGTTTTAGGGCTTTGTTTTGGTTTTGTTTATATGAGTGCACACACTCACACTCTTACGCTCCCTTGTTGTTGTTGTTGTTGTTGTGTTCCTAAACATAGTCCTTACTGGAAAGCACTTTGAAGCGAATTATGTAACTCCTGACTTGACTTGACTTGACTTTTAATTCTTACTTTTGTTCTAGGCATCAACGTTAGGGACAAAAGTTATTGATGAGGATGGTCTGTTTGATCTTATTCGAACTATGCCAGGCAAGAAGTCCAAATATGAGCTGGTGGCTGAAACAGAGGTTTGTTTATTATAAACTTAGGGGTTTTTTCTTTTTTTTTTTTTTTTTTTTTTGCTTTGGTTTGTTTTTAATTGAAAGGAGTTTTGGTCTTCTGTTCCAGTAACAGTAACCCTACGATTGTCAGTTTGACCTTATAGGTTAAAAGTGTTGAAAGTGAAAATTTTATATTTGTGTTTAAGACTTCTACTTGGGAGCTACAGGTTTTTTTCCCTACCTTTCATTTTTATACTCTGACATTATTCTGTATTTTAGGTATCTGACTGAGGAGGTAATTGATCTCCTTAGATGGTTTCAGTTTTAAACTTTGAGTATTTGTTTATTCTTTGAAATAAGTAATTGTGACTGATATCATGTGGTACCGAGACAGGCCCAATATAAAATTGTACTGTAAACGTGGGACAACTATATGGAAACCATGTATATACATAACAGATTTTGTCTTTATGTGGTACTTGAACTAATAATATTAAAAGGATATTAATTTAAATATTACATTATTTATTAAATTTTATTAAA